CTTTGGTGTGGGCTGAGTATTTCGGTACTGACCCCCATTCCTACCTGCTTTTTCTACCTATCGGTGCAACCATTCTTTTCTCGTTATTTCTCAAGTTCTCGGTCCACTATTATTAGAATTGAAATATTACTTTCTGAATATTACAGAGGAGAAAATCTTGAACCTAAGTGCAATTTTACATTTAAAAAAACAGGAAACATTTTTAAGAAAATATTGAACGCTGCAATCACTGCGGCAAGGGCCCTCATGCACACACACACACACACACACACACACACACACACACACACACACACACACACAAATATTCGCAATTTCTTAGTTTCTCGGTCCTCTAATATTGGAATTGAAATATGAGATTAATAATATTATAGAATAGTAAATCTTGGGCCTATACGCAAATTTACATTGAAAGTAAGGAAACATTTTAAAGAAAATATCGTTTGATCGCTTGAAAGTCCACTGCAAGGCCCCTCAAGCGCGCGCACACACACACACACACACACACACACACACACACACACACACACACACACACACACACACACAGGACGTTCATTTCACGGGGCGAACATCTTTAGCGTCGCGTGGAATATTCCATTGTATTTCATTACAGGTTTTCGAAAAACACACAATTGAACTAGTGGTTCTACAGAATAACGCAGATTATCTCGTGCTAGTTGGCTTCCTAATCTCTTTGATCTGGGATAGTTTCTCGATATTGCCCCATCCTCTTCCCCCGATGTTATTACTCATCGGTGCAAACATTTTTTTATTTTATTTTATTTTTTTTGCTTTTTCCAATTTCTCTGTCCCAATTGAAATATTACTTTCAGAAAATTATAGAAGAATACATTTTTTTCTAAGTGAAAATTTACCAACAAAAATTAGAATTTTTTAAGAAAATTTCGTTGAACGTTTCTAAAAATGCGCAATTTTTAGCTCAAATTTACTAAAAGCTTTTGTGTTTTGAGGAACTTTAGCAGAAATCTTTTAAATGGCTTGTGCTCACAAATGCAATAAAGCGTTTAAAAATGTCCGTCAAGTAAATGGCGTAGGATACGTAAATATTCACGGCGTGAGCATTTAAAAAAAATACATTTTTTAATGTTTGAAAATAAAAGAATACATTAAAATGGTTTTTTTGCCATGTTGTACAGCATGTTTAGCTCTATCCGCTCAAAAATATGCAAGAAAGAATTTAATCCCATTTTTGTGATAATCCTTTTTTATAATGGCCTGTATTCGTCTTATCTCCTTTACTTAAAATATGTAATTCTTCTGAAATAACAGAATAGTGTGAATTTTTACTTTCTCACCTAACAACACAAAAAGTAAAGAGAAAGTATTGTAATGCTGCGGGGGGGGGGGGGAATTGGTTTTTTGATAGAAAAATTTTATTGCCAGACCTTGGTAACGAAAAAGTGGATAAATCCTGACCCTACATGAAGTAAATTACATTCTCTCTTACATTATGTAGTTAGTGTCTCTGTTTCGTGAGTCCTTGATACCTAAAAATTTATTGACGTCTATCTCTGTCAGTCTGTCTGACAGTCCAGGTTTTAAGCAATTTACGTACGCGAACGGGCCAGGCCTACGAGCAGCGTCCCTGTCTCGCGGCCATGAGTTTGAGGGGGTACGTGTGGTTAGCACGAAGACATCCCTACGCCGTGTTCTGGTCGTCACAACCTGAGAAATGAGTTTTCTCGTCGCTATACAGCAACATATTCCGGGACATAGCAAACAAAACGCACACTATAATCTTGCCCGACCGGGGATCAAACGGGGGTCGCGTCATGTAAAGCGATCACGTTGACCAATGAGCTTAGACTGACGGACAGACAAGCAGACGGACACTCTTTCGGTATCAGGGAACCCCAAAACGTGTATTTCCGTTGAAATCTCGAAATTAATTTTCGCAGAATTACATAACTTTCCCTATACTACGTATACGGGAAGGTAAAAGGTCTAATTCAAACGAATCGTCTCTCGCGTTTATCTGCATTTATTTCCATTGTCAGGAAAAGTAATATTTTTTTTACTTATAGAAATGAAACGAACATGAATAAATTAAAATGTTACAGCATTTGTAGAACATAATACAGAAACTCAAAAATAATTTCACACAAGCCCACTTTGATTACATTTAAAGTAAATTTTCAATTTTTTAATACCATAATCGGCTATTAAAACTTCTTAGAAGTATACAAGTATGTCTGCTACTTCTAACTTAAAATTTGTTACCTTCCTTAAATTTGTTTTATTTTATAAAAATAATTTCTATATCATACAATCATCATGACAGATGCGATTAATGGCATGAATTCGAAGAATTATGAAACCTCTGTGTTGTTATTTTTTGAAGTGGCAACACCTGAAACAAAGCGCGCGAAATTCGAATTTCGAATTTGATGCACAGTGCTCCGAAAATAGGACCATTGCCGCTATCTTAAAGTTTCTTTGCTAGATAGAAAGATAAAAATGAAATAAAAATTTTTAAGGCTTATCTGAAAAATTGTTTAAAAAGGTTTTAAAGGCGCCTATGTTAAATCTAAAATTACGCAAAAAATACTCATATTTTCGAAATATCGAACGTGACTTCTTTTGAAGAACTCTTTTTTTGCTTTTCATGCACATATATTATTAAGAAAAAATGTATCTTTAAAATCGTAGTTGGAAGAAGACTCCGAAAAATGTTTGAACTTTTGCAATTTTTGCAAAAACCGAGTTTTCAACGAAAATGAGATCTATACTACTCTTTCAAACGTTCTTCACACTGTTCAACAACAAAATCTAATAAAAAACGATGGATCCATTTTTTTAGGTTTTGAAAGTGTCTCAGGGGTGTCATGTAATATACCCTCCAAAATTGAAAATATCGGTTTCAAATTCTAGGGGCTGCGACATCAGCCAGATCGTTTGAGGAATATCGATTTTGGAGAATACCGCTAGTATTGTCCACAGACTGACAGACAGACGTTTTGCCCCCAATCGGTTTTTCGGTATCAAGGACCCACAAAACTTGGATTCTGACTACACCATGGGTTAGAGGATTCCCCCCACCCCTAAATTTAGCAACTAGATTTATCTCTAGAACTGCTCACTTGGCATGCCGCATGGCAGCCATCACCTGACCTCGCTTTTCAAATAAAGTGCCAGTGATGTGGTTACGTGCATTGTGACGTATTTGGTGCTGCATAGGACGAGCAAAAATCGCTGCGGTGGAGCAACGCACTCATGTCCTTGCATGATTCGAATTTCAGCGGGGAAAAATTGCCAATTAGAAAAGGTTTTTCAGGTTCACGTAGTGTTACAGTATTCCGTCGCAAATATTACGAGAAAGTGTGTGCTGTTTATAAACGCGGGAAGGCAGCATCTTTGGGGAGCAATAGGTAAGCGAGGGAGAGGCCAAATTTCTTAGCCGCTATATCTGTTTGCTTATGCGCTTAGGAATTTATTGATGGACTCGTCCACCCAGATTACGTATTCTGAAAATTAATTTGTAAATTTTTTTCCGCTAACTACGCAAACGCGTCATCTACATCAAAACTAGCAACAGGACCAATTAACCGGAGACGTGTAGATTACAAAATAATATTAGTCTTATCAAAGTACAATATAGTGTTTTGAAAATATCAGTGTGATTCTGATTAAATGACCTAAGACTCTAGAAGCCATGTATCTGATTAGCCATAATCTGCCGTGTATCAGCCATGTATTTGAAAATACTATATAAAAAATTTGCTTACCAAATTTCATTCTTGAATAAAATGTTAAAATTTTCTTTAATTTCGTGAAGCTATAGTTAGAAGTTAAGGCTCGTTATGTTATAATTTCTTATTCAAATAAAATAATTGTAATGAATGAAGTAGATATTTGATGAACTGATAATAATTTTATATAATAATACAACAATTATTTTACAAATAGTATAAAGCCAAATAGTACGTATTATACGCTTCTCTATACTGTATTCATTTTAAAATTTAAAATTCGTATTATTAAAAATTAATATTACTGCGACAGAAGACGGATTTGAGAGAACACTGAAGGAAGACGACCAGATGAAGATTTTGAAACTTTATTTCCAGAAATCCTAAAATTCCTGATGACATGCTTGAGAATAACCTGGCATAGAGGTAGCTCTTGAGGTAGTCAGTTTGTGTCGTATTGATTTAGTAACACATGCTAGTATGATGTGGTCACCCATCCTTTTGCACTGTGTGGTCTTTTTTGCAGCATCCATTGTTGTTGTTGTTGTTGTTGTTGTTGTTCTAAGCATGCGTGAACGTGTTATTAGCCAACCTGAAAAATAATTGTCCTGGCCGATTCTGGAACTAATTATTATGTTGAAATCAGGTAGAGTCTGTTTCGAAGGTAATTAATCAAACAGCGTCCAAGCGGCGAATTCGAGAACTAACGGAAGTGCATCAGAAAAATGAGACAAAAACACTCAGTCATTTTTTCTTGTCGATCCATCAAATAAGTTCGTATCGAAAAAATCAACAAATGTCGTTTAGGTATAACAGTAAGCATCAATCAATATGACCGAAACAGACTGTACACTGTATATTTGTAATAACCCTGTATTTCTGGAGTTTTCATATTTCATATATGTTATTCACATATCAGAGGGCCACCCATCCTGGAATCCGTGACGTCTCGAGTGACGTTTGCGGCGATGTGCCTAATATATATATATATATATATATATATATATATATAT